TTGTTTGTCTGAAATTGAAGACACGTCCAAGAAAACATGAAGTCAAAACGAGGCCCTCCCAGCACATCTTCCCTCTAAGGACAGGAAGCCTCTCCTCTGCTCTCCCCTTCCTCCAGGCTGTGTTACTGTACTTCCTATGGCGCTGTTCCTCCTGTAGTAGGAGAGTATGATCACTGTGATGGTCATGGATAAGTGAGGCAGGAACACATTCTGTTAAGTTGGGTTAATTAGTAAATAGCAAATAAGACATTCACTCTCTTCACAAGCCTTGCACTAGTACTGAATTAAGTGGTTCTTTCCTTACTTCTTCACTCTCCTTCAGACTCATCAAGAGATATTTCCCAAGCAAACCAGTTGGGCTTTATGAGACACAACTTACTAGAAAGTACATTGAAATGAGAATGTTTTTATTATGACAAACAGGACTGAAAGAAGCAAAGATTAAATGTGATCATTTCAAACTCTTTTTCAGCATCCTCATCTTCTCAGATACACCTTCAGAGCCCTGCGTGCCTCAGCTCTCCTATCTGCAAAGCAGCAGCACTGATGTGAGCCTCCCTCCTAAGGGTAGGATCTAACAGCAGGCTGGGGGCCTGTAATTAAAGGCAGTAAGGAGGCAAAGTGAAAACAAAGCACCTCTGCTGTTTTTTTTTGTGGTAAAGCAGTCCATAACTGATGTACAACAGCTCACCAATCCAAACAATGATTTCATTAATAGCTCTGCTGAGATCAGGTAAGTTCTGAGCATAACAGCATCCTGCTTTCAGAAACAGGCTGATCACCACCATTAATCACCCACCCACCTGCACAGATGCACAGGTTGCTCTCTGCAGACTCACACCTGAGATCTGAGCTCTGCACAGAAAAACTCACCACAAAGTGCCACTGAAACTCCTTCAGAACTGAAGGTTTTCAGTTCAATATTTGCTGACTGTAGGAAATAAGGCCACTGCCGCCTCTGCAGATTGCAAAGTCTTTTAATTATGGAAGTACGTGCTATCCTGTAAGAGAAGGTAGAATAAGTTTGGTCTGGGAAAAAAAAAAAAAAGAAAAGAAAAGAAAAAAAAAAGGCTTTAGCATCATTTCAAACTATTTAGTTACTGAAATGGAATTTTCTGTGCCTGCCAAAATGAGTCCTATTCAGTGTGATGCAACAGGTGATGGAATTCCAGCAGCCGCCTCAGCCCACATCTGGGAACAGTTAGAAGCTTAAAGGAAGTTCTGTAAGCATTTCTTATGTATAAAACCGATTCATCAGTCGCATCTATGGGCCATATTCACCACGGCTCACACGGCGCATAGCTCAGATTTTTGTTTGGCTTACAAAAAAAAGGAGCTCTGCTGCTCGGGACATTTGAGGAATCTCAGGCACTTGTCCAGGCTGAGGATGTGCAGGGGCTCATGTGGCTGTGTGGTATGTCAGAGAGGCTGCACTGTACAGAAGGTGTGAACACACTTTAAGTCGGTTCTACCCTGATAAATAACTACATGTAACGTGAGAGAGGTATTCCTCAAACAAGTGAGAGACCTCTGGTGTAAGGAAACCCGAACCACTGGTCCCTTCCTCCCAAGGGAAAAACACATTTGTGTCAGTCCTTAAAAATTCACTGACAAGAGAAAGGTTCTACTTAACTTTCACAGCGTTATAAAAAAACCACAGCACCTTCTCTTCAAAAGCCATTTTTTGTTCTCCCTTTTCCTTCTGCATCTGCGCCAGCCCCTTTGGTAGCCAAGCATAGAAGACTGCAGTAAATGAGGACAAGCCCAAATGCAGTAGTGTGAACATGGAAACAAAGCAGAGAATCTCTAGAAGCTCCCCTTACTTCCAGTGCCAACCCTTAAATGAGGTCTGGGAAGGGGGGGATCCTGGCTGCAGCCCCTCCAGTCACTCACTGCATTGCACTGCACTGCAAACACCTGAGCTCCCCTGGGCTGGCCCTGCCCTCCCACCAGGTGCTTCAGGCTCAGCATTTCTGCTACAGAGGGCAAGGTATTCTTACAGAAACTGCAGATATATGCAGAAATGCTTTCACAGGAACATTTTAAGAGAAAATGATTTGAAACTATTCTGCAGAGCAAGTCCTCCATCCCTGTACCTGCTTGAGAGGCCGCACACAAATACAGTGGAAGGACCAATCTAAAATTATTTCTGTGGATTGAGCAGGAGCGCTCTCACAATCACTGGAAATGCTCTTAATTGGTGTAATTGGTGTGGCTCAATGGTGCAGTTCAGAGCTGTTAGATCTTCTGCCTCTGCAGAACACTTTTCACATCCCGGCAATCGCAGTCTGGCCAGAAATCTGTTTGTCACGTTCAGGATGAGCTTCCGGATCTCCAACAAAGTGCTATTTACTCTAAGGCAGGGCAGTTTGCAGTAACCATGCAAGTTCTCATCAGCCTAAAATGCAGAAACATCTGCTGGGGTCATGAGATATTTATTTGCTGCTGATGAGCAAAGAATCGGCTCCATTTGCAGCTGGCACAAACAAAGGATTGTAGGGCTGGGGACACAAACAGGCCTCAATTATCTCCCGAGTTGCATCTGCACTGCAGCAGAATGGCAAAAAGGGGTGATTCCTTATGTTGACCCTTGGTGACCTTATCACAGCACAGGAACAACAACAAAAAATGCTGTATCACAGCCTTCCTGAGCTGGAGGTTAAAACAACCAGGGCAGGACTCTCCAAGAAACTCACAACCCAGGCCAGGCAGTCTGTGCAGCACAAAGCTGGCTTAGGATGATCTTCACCAATCACCTTGTGCTCACTGGAACACAATTTTGCAGAGGGTAAATGCTTACATCTCCACCATGCACTCCCAATCTGTCTCCCACAAGCCCTCAGACCGACTTGACTTGTTATACAATTATTTTGTTTTGAGAAGAGAAAAATGCCCCAAACATTACATATACACACACAGACACAAAGCCTTGGGACAACCTGATGTTAACAATTGGAAATATTAACTTCTGGTCCAAAAGATGAACACACAGGGATTAAGAACTCCAAAAATTTAAATAGAACAGAAGTAAATCTGCATTGAAACAATATTACAAACGCAGCAGATGTGGACGTCACTATTTCCAGGTGCAAAAGTAAGAAGGGCTCAATAACCTGAAGGAAAAGAGCCCAGGACTTCAGGCAGACTGAGAGCATGCAATGCTGTCAGAACATTGGTGGGAAATACAAAGTCAGCAGTGCCACATCTGCTCAGCTCCTGCACTTTGGTTTGGATTTACACTGGTAAGTATGACAGTACGGAGTGCCTGTAGCTGTTCTGTGCTGGGGGAACCTGAAAGACTTCTTGTTTCTTCAAAGAGTCAAAACAGAATCAATCAGAATCAATATTCCATTCAAGCAACAGGGAAGAAAGTCCAAAATTACAACCTTTTCCTGAAGAAGCGTGCTGCTTCATCTGACATTCGTCCACTACCGGTACAGAGCTTCACACAAGTGCTCCGTTTAGGAAAGAACGGCCATTACACCAACGCCTGCGATTCCTCCGAAGCAACGGTGCGCGTCCTCGTGCTCCTCGCCGCTCTGCGCGGGCCGTCGGCCTTCAGCTCTGAGTGCTTGGGCTTCTTGTGCGGGTAATGACTGCCACCTGCAGCAGCAAGGAAGAACTTCCCTGCGATTTAGAGCTTTTTAATTGCCATCGCAGCCAGAACCTTTCCTCCCCCACCGTCCTTCAGGGTGAACACAGCAGCATTCCATCTCACTGAGCGTCAGTACAGATGTATTACATAGCTTAGAAAGCGATGAGAGGGAGAAAATCCAGAAGGCCACTGAAACTCTGCATAAGGATTCTTTCACCCAGAGGATAAACAGCTGAGTGAAGAGGTGTCCCTAACCCTGCAGTCACAGCATGCACACAGTGTTCTTCAGATGGAAACTGTCCTTGAAATCTACCACTTAAGAGTGGCAGAAAGTCACTTAACTGAAGATGAAAGGTTCAAATTTGAAGTATGCCCTATACTTTTTTTATTTTTAAGATAAGCAACGAAGTCTATCATCAATAAATCCTAGGACAGCCATTCTGCCTTGTGATGGTGCAGAAACAAAATTCAGACCCGATTTACTTTATTATGCCATCCATGCCCCCACAGAATTTAGGGAATCCCTCATAACAGCTTTCTGAGTCCTGCAACAGCAGTTACAACAAACAGGTTAAAGGCACGAGGACACAGCCCAACGTTTATTCACAGGGAAAACCGCAGTTTGACCAGCAGTGTTATCACTTATGGCCCTTTCTACCGAGCTCTGCACCCATCAGAATGACTGCCGAGCTACAGCTCACCGAGCCGGCCGTTCAGCAAAGCTCCCCACCCAGTGGTGAACGCTGCAGGCGCAGTTTGCCTTCCTGTGCAGGGAAACGACGCTGCTGCGGGCGGCTGCCTGTGATGTGGGGCACAAAAGGCAGCTCACACACAGGTAAGCTGTCAGGTGTAGCTGATCTAACATAGCTAAAATAAATAGAAATAAAAGATAACATCTGAAAATAATTGTCCTCCCACCACGTCGTGGACCAGCTGCTGTGAAACGATGACACTGAAATTACATACGATGGAGGTCTTAACTGCTTGTCGTACGTGGACTTATCCAATACACATCTCTACTGACCCCATCCTACAGCTTAATTTCATCTTATTTTTAATCATCGGAGACAGAATCTCTATAGACCTCTGCTAACAGCAGGAAGAAAACCTAAATCATTTATTTGCGTGTTGAAAAAGCCATTTCCACAGCTAGCATCCATGTTCTAACAGATCATTATTATCTTTCTCATTCCAGCACTTATGCACTATTAAGGTTAGAAGTTTCTTTCCATGATCAGAATCTTCTGGCATCTGAGCTTTGGGTGCCAGGAGGACACGACTTGCCCTTAGGACTTCATGCCTAGAAATCCTCCCCTGCACACATTGTGTAATATTTGCCCAATGTAAGCCAGGTGGAAACAAAAGCTTCTTTAGGAGATCAGTGAAGATTTTCAAACATGATGGCTCCTAACGCAGCAGTGAAAAAGTAATCTTTATTTTAAAATAAAGATCTAAAGCACTTCAAGAGAAAGCATCACTACAAAAGCATTTATGTTTCAGTAATTTATTTACAAGACAATTAGGCAAAAATATACCAAAACTCTACTCCTGCTCACCAGCCTCATTCTTTGCTACCCACGTTGCTTTTCCCCTTGAAAAACCCAGACACAAGGGGCAATTAAGAGTTCCTCTGGAAGCTGTTCACCAAGTGATTAATGATCATGCTGTGCATTCCTCCTGGTTCTCCTATCCAGATTAAAAAAAAAACCACATAGTACAACAAACACAGCTCCACATCTCTCTCTTGAGACGTGGCCCTGTAAGGAACACTGTGCTGGGAAGAGCTGCAAAGCAGTGCACTCAAAGCCAGGTGCAAGAAAGTGAGTTTAAGGATACATTGTTCATGTTTGCTAAGAATAACATTTGATTTAACTTGCAGTATTACCAAGGCAGCAAGTGATGATAAAAGTGTCACAGAAATGGCTGTTTAAAAAAATAAGTCTCCTTATGGGTAAGCAGAAGAAAATTCCATTCTTAGATCAGTCACACATGTAGCTGCTTTCATATTGAAACTGGAAAGCTGGATGTGTTCTGTCCATAAGTAAAGTGAGATACAGGACAAATCAAAGACAGTAAACAAAAACATACAAGTCTGACATTGATTTAGGACCCACCCATCAGTAACAAACACAATAAAACACACAGATCACAGACACTCAGTTGAAGTACCAGTGTTTCACAACATCTACGCCATGATTGTCCTCACATATTCTTTGATTATGCAGTGAAACTTCTTTGCTAGCTTCATACGACAGGTTCTGCACTTGAGTCAAGCTCCTGGAACAAATGAAGCAGGTGAAGTCAGTCACTGTGGAGGAAAACTTCGACCAAACCACCAAAGTATCCATGTGGAGATTCACAGCTTCCCTCCCAGTGTCAGAAAGCAGCACGCTGCAGCAGTCCTGCAGTCCAACTAAGATTACACAGACTGAACAAGACAACTCTCCTTTACAGGCAGGGCAGGGACAGAAACAAAGATGCCTGCAACTGAGCAGGACTATTCCCTCCATTAATGCTCCAGGACCCAGTCTGGATACAAAGGTCAGATCTACACGCTTTTTTCTGAACACACAGAGAGTTTTCACACTGCTGTAAATACCTTCGAAGTTCTTTCTCCAGCTTTTGAAACACCTCTTCAGTACCTTGCAGTTCACTGAATGCTTTTGCACTTTCTTCTGAGCAGTCTGGCATAACTTCTGCCAGAAGTTCCTGGGTGACAGTCAACTGCTTTTGCAGTTTGTCTACAACATAAGAGACGTTAATTTTTTTTTTTAAATGCATGCAGTTAATGATACAAGATTAATTAATAGCTACAGCAAGGAGGAACAAGTGAACGACAAACTATTGCTTGTTAAGCCATTAGAAAATCAGAAAAGCCAAATCACTTTTAGCGACAGACTAACAGCAACAACTCTATTTCTGCTACTTCAACTTGCTGATCAAGCTCAAACACCTCACAGAATTTTACCAGATTCAAATACAAGAGAAAAAAGTCAAGCTTTAAACCCCCAAAATTCCATAACTAATGGCATGTTGGAAAGGACCACCAACTTGAAATTCATCCTGTCCTTTCCTTTAGCATTCACAAAGCAAAATATATGTGCCTTACATATTTCAAAAGCTCTTACAAGAATGTTATGATTTTCAATAAAATCTTCCCATTTGTTTTGAAGTGTAAGCAGGGATGAAGTTCTGCAGGAAGCACGAGTGAGTCTGTCCATGGGACCCTGCCCCTCACACAGGAACAAAAAGACATCACCGTATTTCTACTACTCTTCAACTTGCTGACACATTAGGAAGAGCCAGCAAGGAAGAACGGAATGAATACAGTAAAAAAATAAAATATAAAGGCTTATATAGACTGTCCTAATCCTAGAAAGTTCATTTTCTCCCAAAGATATGTTAAAAAAAAAGTTTGACAGCAGTTTAATGGTTAGATGGAGACAGTAATTATTCATATCAAAACAAATGACAAGTGTTGAAGCCCAGTGTCCAGACAAACTCTATGAACGGCACTAAAAACTGCTCCAGTGACCACAAGCAGGTCTAGGAAACACAAGATAACAAGTCTGGCATATAGAAACACCTATTGCTGAAAGTATATTTGAAATATAATGTTCATACCTAGGTACGTTGGCATATCTCCCTCTATGTGAATGTTTTTAATGGGTAATTTATGTCTAGTGGCATCCAGAGCAACTGCAAAGCTCTTATACTGCTCTTTAAATTGTTCAAGAAGAGGAACAAGAGGAGAAAGTACTTCCATCTGAAAAGGACATGATGAATCAACACTTCTTCACAAAGCAGCCGTTTTGTACACATATAAAAGCAAGCATATGTTCAGTTTTGCCAATCAGTTGTTCAAAACACCCTACCCTTCTAATTTGATGCAACAAAACTAAGAAAACCTGAGAGAATATGGAGGCTTTAGCTTCTAAAGATGATCTGCTATCAAGAAAATCATTACAAGTTTGTCTTCTTACAACCAGATCAGAACTATCACTAACATACAGAAGTATAAAGCGATGGGAGATGTCCTCCACGCATTTAAGGGTTAGCATCTCTGCTCCAGCCATAACATCCTGCAGTTACAAAATAGTGTGGTTTTAAGATGTTTACAGTCCATGCACAGGAGATGTAAACTGCTCTGGCAGCTCGTGCTGCTGCCCCTCGCCTAACAGCAACAACTTCTCCTTCCTGCCTCCATCAGGGAGGGCCAAAAAAGTGACAAAGGCATTTGTTTAGATTACTAGAGAGCACAACAGGCTACAGCAGGAAGTAGATGTTTACAGATGCATAAAACTGTGCCTCAGCAGGCCACGAAAGCACAGAAATCATCTTTGAGAAAGGATTATTAGATTATTACAGTCTAGTAGCTGTCAGTACGTTGTTAACAATGTAACAGATTGTTCAAACGCAGAATGAACTGCAATAAAGCCTACCTGTTTCACAAGCTCCTCATCAAGCTTTTCCTCTCTCTCTCTGAGCAGAATTTCACGCTTCAACTCATAGAGCTTCTCCTGTTGTCTCTCTTTTTCTTCACACAACATTAACAAGTTTTCTTCTGCTTTTTCCTCGAGCTCAGCCACGTCATTCTTCTGCTGTTACATCCAAGAGACATCCACAGCTAAGGTAACTTACTTAAGCTGAAGCAACAAATGCAAGTCTAGCACACTTAAGTTAAAGCCTTCTCTCCCTTTTCTCTACTAACTCCTCATTAATATATTTTTTTGTAAAGGAAAACTACACTTATGTACTACTGAGTGAAAAAAACCAAAATCACTGCTACAGCCTTGAATTCCAAACATTCACTCCTGCTTCCCTGGAACTTCAGTTGTCCCTGCTTCATGAAGAACCAGCACCAGCTTAATAAACTGGCATAGAATTCACTCAGAGTTTTCAAGGCACACCCATCACGTAGGCTTAGAGCACATAGTTTAGAACACATGAAACCATAACAACGTGACTTTCATCAGCATGCATACAACTCGATATCAAAGTCGTTTAATTTCTTTTTCACCTGAAACACCACACGCTTGACTGACTCACCTTCACTCTTAGGTAAGTTAAAATCAGCTCCTGAGAGCTCAGCTCTGCCCCCACAACAGCAGGATTGTTTTTCTTGCAGAAAAAAAGGAAAAAAAAGGAAAATTCTGGATCAGTTGTGGAATTTAAACAGTCATATTTTCAGGATGTAAATAAATTACTGAAAGTCCAGTCTGTGGCCAGAATCAGCATGATCATCAGCAACAGTCACCCAGATGGATATTAACTAAATCCCTGTTCTTTGTTCATCCAACCCTTATACTGCTCTCAGCAGATATCCGAAACACCAGAATAGAACCTGACGACTTAGCAGTGAGGGAGATTAGGTAGAAATAATTTTCTGATAAAAAATGGTTGGGAAGTATTTAAAGATAACGTGATATAATTAGAATGAAGCATAAAAAGAATTAGCCTGAAGAGATGCTACAGAGCAAATTTTTTTACTACAACAAGCTGTGGTAAAACTTTGAGACTTACACCCAGTGAACAAAACAAACACTGCAAGCAGTTCAACAGAGTTCTCATTTGGCTTTGGAGCAGCCCAGAAACCTGAATGGTTGTTACCAATATTAGAGAAACAGAACCTTTTCATTGCACATATCCCAAAATAAAGATGCTTAACAAACGGAAGCAGCGAGACTCACCGATTTCTGGTTTTTTACACATGGCCCTTTATCTGTTTTGCAGGAAGCCCTTGAACTTGTAGACTTCTGTAGGACGGTTTTATCTGTGTCATTAGAGAAAAGTTATGAGCAATATGCGGGGGTAGGTCAACAGACATCGGATCCTTCAAAGGCACTAAGAATTTAAAGATGGCATATCTACTTACTGCACCATGTTTTCAGCTTTTTATCGGGCTCACGAGATACCGAGGATAAGACAAGTTTTTAACTTTAGGTAACAGTTACCTAACAGATGTGGCATAATTTTCAGAAGAGCTCCTTATCTAATGCTCCTTATCTGTTACAAAGGCCTGATGTTACTTTGGCCTTTAATATTTGATCCTAAACTCTAAAAGAAAAAAGAGCACACCCAAAAGATACCAAGAAGTAAGAGGTTAACTCCAACTCTGAATTCTTTAAAGTTTCTAAAGTCTTTAAATAAACTCAAAAAATAAACATTTATCTTATTTAATACCACCTTTTGGCAAATCCAGTAGAAATCTATAATCAAGTTAATAGATATACAATCAAAACAATAAGAAATTAAATACGAATGGAGGTTTACCATTAATAGCTGAAAGATCAAGGTCTGGTCGAGTAATTTTATCTCCATCTAATAAAGTGGATTGCAGGTCACCTTTCTCAAAACTACTCTGATTTAACAAGCCAGAGGCAACACCTGCAGAAAGAAGCTGTTGTCAAACTAAAATTAAAGCAGATATTGTACAAGCTCACATCTCTATATGCTCTTGTATGGGAACTCTTGAGTCACAGCCTGATTACCTGGGGTAATTACCTTACCTGGGGAAAGAACCCGGCCAGCCCTGGGGGCACAGGTGAAGGCAACTCAGCTGTGAGACAGGAGGGGGTGGAGCCTGGCTGCACCTCTCTTAGAGCTCATTTAAGGGCTGACTGGCCCTAGGGAAGGATTTCACCTCCTTGGTGAGGTACTTGTCAATCTAGAATCTTCTATGGTAAATATTCTTCTTCCCTTCCTTTATGGCACCCTTCTATCATGCTGGTCCTTCTGTCATCACACCTTTGTGGTAGCATCTTTCCCATCACATTTATCTGTCCGATTACTACAGCTTTTAATAGTATGGGGCAAACTTTTCCCATTCACTTGATATGCACCAGTTGTGTACTCGCTACTTAGATAAAGTAGTTCAGAATTTTATCCCAAACGTTTCCAGATTAGTGTTTTACGATAACATCCAGACAAGAGTTTGCATCTCTTAATCCCACAGCATAATCCTACACATTAATTCCCTTAGAGATAGCAGCGATGTAAGTATTATAAACATCACCTTACCACATGTTTTAAAGTTGTTAAGAGCGACAGATGCTGGAAAAACATTGAGAAAATGACTGAATTCAAAATCCTTCTGATAAGACTTACCAGAACCTTCAGACTTCTGGGCGAGCACCGGTCTTGCTTTAGCTGTGGAAGATGCACTGGAAGTCGATGACGAAAAAGATTTTGTTGAAGCATTCTGACGACCAGAAAGCAGACAGGAGTGAACGTGGGCAGCATCCACAGCCCGCCCTGTCCCCCCCTCCAACACCGACCATCCCCGCCGCTCTCCCGGATGCCCGCCCCGCGCCGATGTCACACCGCACAACGCTTCGCTCACAACTCCGCGAGCCCAGAGTGCCGAGTACCTTACTGGACTCTTTCTTATCGTACTGCAGGTAGCGGGACTTCACGATTCTTCTCCCTGAAAGAGCACAGAGCGCTCAGCCGGGCCCGCGCCTCAGCCGGGCGGGCGGGGTCCGCTCACCTCACCCCGCCGCTACCTTTCCGCACGTTCTGGGACGTTTCTCCGTCTGTCAACGCGGACATTCTTCAAACATAGAGCAGGGGTAACAGCGGCAGCGAACGGCGGGAGAGAAGAGTGGCGCCGACGACCGCCCCGCGCTGAGGAACGCCGCGGCCGCCAACACGTTCGAACCGCGCGCACGCGCAGCGCCGCCCCGCTCTGAGGGGATCGAGGCGCTGAGCGCCCCCTGGCGGCGCGGAGGATCAAAGCGAATCCCCACGGCCGGTCTCGGCTCCGCGCCCTCGGGGCTTCTGAATGGGATGCTCCCCACCCGGGCTGCGCTTATAGAGGAGCGCTACTCTGACCTCAGCATTAGCCTGACGCAAGTAGGGAGGACCCTACGGAGGCTGTGAGTGATTCCAGACGCTGCCCTTTTGCTCAGCCGAAGCTCCCGCTGGGGAAGCCTAAGCCCGCGAGAAGGATCTCCTGCGCAGCCCCAGCGTTACAGAAAGCCGCTCGGGGAAGGCGGTGAGCGCCAGCAGTGTCGTGAGGCGGCCCTCCCAGCCGGGCTTTGGAGTTTTAAGGAATCCGCACACTCCCGTTTCTCGCCGCAGGGCCCCGCCTTAGAAAGCACCTGGCTCCCCACGAACACCCGCTCCCAGGAGCCGTGGGAGAGGGCGGGAGAGCCGCCCCCCGACACGGCCCGCAGCGCCTCGCACCGCGCCGCCGCCAGGGGGCGGTGGGGTGAGGAGGGGGTGGGGAGCGTGCGCAGTGCGCGCGCGGCGCTGAATGGGTGCCGCCCTGCCTCCCTCCACCCGGAAGTGGCGAGCGGCGGCTCCGCGGGGCCTGCGGCGGGCGGCGGCGCCGGGTGCAGCGCTTCACACGGCGCCGGAGGTAAAACGGAGCGCGGTGCTCTTCTGTCTTTTCCTTTCCTCCGTGAGTGGCTGAGCTTTGTAACAGCGGTGCCTCAGAGCGACCTCATCTCGCGCTGAAGGCGGGAGCGGGGCTGCCTGCCGGTGCGTGGGGCCGGGGCGGAGGGCTCTGTGGGGTGGGGATCGCTGTGCGCTGTTCCCGCGCAGCCGCCCGGTGCCGCCGTCTCCTCAGGTTCGGCCCCCCCGTTCCTCCGGCTGTGTGAGCAGCCTGTAACGTACCGTATAAGCACCTCCGCCCTCTGAGTGCTTTCTCGTTACTTTGGGGCTACACTTGACATCGTCGCTGTTGCTGCCGTGCTTTATCGCACCTCTGTGGCAGCGCCGGCTCTTCCTGCTGCCTCTGGCTGTGGAAGCGGAGCTGCTGCGGGCGTCCCTTGAGTGCACGATGCGGAGCCAAACGCAGCAGAGCGCCGTCCTGACCGTGACAGCAAAGTGCTGCCGTGGGGTGATTTCCCGGTGCCGTTATTAAAGCTGTTCTCTATTACTCTGTAAGTATTTTTGCACGGTTTATTAGCGTTTGCTTTGTGGAAGGTGAGAGGTGCTTTGTGCCCAAAGGAGTTGGGTATTCCTCGGTTTTTGCCTTCTGGAAATGCAGCTGGGGATGATCTCAGGCTGCTGGTGGGTGGAATTCACCTTTCGGGGATATCATCGGGATCCTCCCACGTTGCTCCTAGAGGTGGATGGGTATCGGTTTGTTTGCCGAGCTCTTTGCTAATAGGACCTTGTGATGCATAATGAGAAGATCTCTGATTTCAGACCTGTCAGCCACAACACAAATGACGGAAGTGTTTGCCCTGCAGTCACAGTGTGAGGTAACCCCACACAGTTCTGCTCACTGGTGCCGTACCTGTCAAACTTTATGATATCTCCGGTGTCTTTAATCAGAATCCTGACAGAAACAGATGTTGTTTTTCTTAAATTAAATACATGGAGAACTTTTAAGACGTAGATATGTTAATCGTAGCTTCAGTATTCACTGCAGTGCTTTTCTGGAGCGTTAGGATTGGGTGTTTTCGTCTTTAAACATCAAGAGCAATGAGAGTCTTTACCTTCTCCACCTTTGAAGTTTTACATCATCTCTGCTTTTCTGGGCCATTTCCTTTAGCAGAAGCGTTAACATACACTAAACTTGAGAACTTGTGATGGAACAATTTTTGTACAACCATTGAACCACTGTAGGTGGTTTTTTTTTCTTCTTTTTGTTACTGTGTTCAAATGTTTGCCTCAAAAAGCTTTTTTCTTAGCAACTGAATGCTATAAATTGTGCAGTGATGGGGCACCAGCCTGCAGTGGCCCAGTCAGGTTGGTAGAGTCATAAGCCTGTGTTTTTCTGTGCAACCTAAAACGTTTGTAGAACTGAATAATTCAGGAAGAGTAAACACAGCTGATGAAAAATTTAAGTGAGGTTCACCTAGTAAGCAATGCTTTGTGCAGACTGTTTTCTGACAAATGATGATTCAAACATCAGAATTTTTGAGTAATCCCCTGAATAACTCTTTGACTCACACGCACGTAGCTCAGTATTGCTTCTGAATGCAGTCTTTCCATTGCTGGATGGCCGTGGGGGGAGGCCGTGTGGCCACAAGATTTTCCTTTAGAATGGAGAAATTCCTGCAAGGTGCAACAGGATCAGCTATCATAGCAGTCGTGGAACAGAGTGAGAAAATGATTCAACAAGGAGTCCATGCTTCAGAACTTCTGAAGTTTGAAATTTGAAGACCACAGGGGTTCATTAATTCACATTTTCAAGAAATGAGCCATTCTCATTCTGCTTTTCCCTCTGATTTTTGAATTATGATTTTGTCCATTGCAGTCAGATTTTATTGAAACAACGTTCTCTAATGTGGTTAAATGGGATGCATGTTTTTCAGGTAGTTTCTTGGTGCGTCAGTGGGTTTATGTGTGGCTGGTAGAGTTGCTTTGGATGGCCTTTATTGTTGTGTCTTACTAAGTTAAGCTTAATGCAGATCCTGGCGAAACTTGTTCTGCTTTGAAGAGCAGCAGTATTTAACAACAGAAGCATCATAAAAACTGTTCTTGACACACTGCTGGTGAGTCAGTACTTTTTTTTCCTCAATTCACACAAAAGTTCAGTCTGAAGTTTCTTGAGGTCATTTGTTATTGGTGTGATTGCAGCGTTAGACCTGTAAGGTTTTTGCTCCTGCTGTTGAAAGCTGTGGCACTATGAAGGATGGCAGTGAGATGACTACAAAAGATGATGAAGTAGTCTGAATTTCTTTCTACTCACATCTACTAACACATTCAGTTGTCCCTCTGTTCCTTCTGATCTTAACAGGGACAGATTTTTGTTTCCTCTGACTCATGCTGAAGTGTCCATCTGTAAGCCACACTGTTTGTGAGGTAATAACATGTTATAGACTCTTAATGTCACTGTAATCCTGATAAGGTATCCTTGTCTCGAGGTTACATTGTGTGTCTGAGTCACTTGGAGGAAGCAGAGGCTGCAACTTAGGTGAGTTATGGGCACAGATTGGGATCAGGGTCTGGAGGGCCAGAGAGAGCAGCAAGAAGGTAACTGGGGAGGAACTGCCTGCAACGAAGGTCAGTTCTGTGACTCTTTCCTGTATTACACTGTGCTTCTTGCACTGCAATCCAGCTTCTGCTTTGTTAGGCAGCCTGTGGCAAACATTAACTGCTCTAGCAGGGTTGGTTGCAAACAGTAATACAAAATGTGTTGCAAATGTGCACATTCCACTCAAAACTACTCCTTTTGGAGTAAAAAAGAAGAGCTTTCAGTTAAGAAAAGCCCAGGATCTGGAGTTATTTAGTTCAAGAGAATTTTATGTAGCCAAGAAAAATGCTGAAGTGTTACTATAATGCAGAACAACTTTCAAGTAAATCTACAGGAGTCTGGAAAGTTTAGAAAGAAATTAATTTGCTCAATAACAGCATCTGTATGTTCTTGTGATGTGGTGAGACAAGTTGAGGCTTTGCCTTACCTATAAAGGACTGTTGGTTCTGGAAATTCTGGGCTGTGGAAGTTCCTTGCTTTGGAAACTGAGGGTAAGTAACAGCTGAGTGCTTTGGGGATGGCTCAGTGTTTTCGGTTGATCAGAAGGAGCAGGCTCTTCTTGGGACAGCATCTGGCAAACGTGATGTTCATGGGTTGTAGAGCTCAGGTACTTGTGATGTGTTTCTACTTTTGTGTTGGAAAATACTTGATGAGCTGTGTGAGGAGCTTGAATCCTTCAGATTGAGGAATGCAGCGTGGAAATGTATGTGAAAATTTGAAGAAGTAGAATATTATAAAGTTCACCCTCAACAATTTTGCTGTAATGGTAGCTTTCCCTTTTTAGCTTTGCTATGATTCATTGACTAAACATGTGCCTTCAAATTATGGCCTTGTTTAAACTAAACAGATACCCTGCGCTGATCGGGGCCAAGTTCTTTTCTAGAATTTTACTGCATTATTAAATAGGCAGTGTTGGGCTTGATGCATGCTAGGAACATTAATTAGCTCAATAGAGACTGAGAAAATGGCATCATAAATATCATAGAGAATTTGACTATTTTCTTTTCCTATTAATGTTGTTTGTGGTCAGGGAAGGAAAATTACAGATCAGTGACAAAGTGCATGGATTGTGTTTCTTTCATACAGTATTGAAGTGGGTACCTGAAATGTTGCCCTAGCTGGCAATCTGAGTGGCAGGGGTCAATCCTACAGCAACAGATTAAATAGTTTGGCCTCACTTTCAGTTAGATTATTGTTTGGTAAGCCCAGTGGTTTTTTGGTTTGTCTTTTAAGCAAGTGAAAGTGCTAATTTATAGATAATATAGAAATAAATATAGCTTTGTGCTGTTTTATATTGTTTTTCTGCTAGTGCTGTTAGCAGACCATTGTAGCGTTTGAGTACGTGAGGCAGTAGAGGGAAAGGAAGAAAGTCCTGAGGAGAGGTTCTGGGTTGCAGGGACGTGCTTCCATCTTTGTGGCACACTGGAGTTTCCTGCTGGGACAGCTGAGTAAAGCGGCTGTAGCTGGATCTTACATGGGTCTCTCATTACTCAAGACCTCCCAGTTCTCTTCTGTCATGCTTGAAACAAGTACAACTACATCGTGTGTATGTCGTACTGGGGTAACAAATCCACCGTTTCAAGGGCACAGATCATGCATCACTGTATCTTTTAACACACTAATCCCTTGCAGGTGATGCCCCGCTCATATTGAAGTAATACAGTCTAATGGTTTGAACAAAATATAAGAATTTCAGAAGTTTTGTACTTCAACTTTTCTTTTGAC